AATTCTGAAAGCATAGCATAGCTCCAAGCGCAAATTTTCTTTAGCCTTAAAAAATGCTTGCTTTGCCAGGGTGATATGGTATTAACAGAACATTATCTTGATGGTCAAGCATTTTGTTCAGTACTATTTGTGCTTATAATAAAACCCTGCTAAAGTATCAGTTCTAATCAGAGTATAGACCATCAGATATGTTCTGAATTCAAACAATAGAACAGAATTAGTATCATTATTTTTACTTAACAGTTTGGCAACTCTGGAGGAAAATGCTACAAGAACTGGGAAAAAAATGGAGATGTGTTTCGTAAGCTTTCAAATGTGTGTTGAAAGTGACACAAGTTTAGCTGTGCCCTGACTTGAACCTCACATAACTCCAGACTCCAGAGGAGGATGGAATGGAGTTTGGACTGTGTCCGGTTATCTCAAAACTGCCTCTGATGTGTTAAGAGTTTGACAGCCAAAATGCTCACTGAAGCTCACAGGATTTATGCACGACTCGTATATGTATTTATTAACCACTGATCTTACTTCCATAAAGTACTGCTTTTGAACGAGGAAAAATACGTAAAAAGCAAAATAAGTGCTTAATCTTTAAAAAGCAAACCCGACAACTTGCACTAGGTAAGAAAAATACAACCAAACAAAAACTTGCAGTCAACTTCTTTCCATACCAAGAGATGCTCTCAGCAGTATGCTTTTAGGACAGCCTCTAGTAGGTCACCCATCTGGACTTCTCGGAAAGTACTTCTTGCATACTTTATTCCAGGTATAAACTTACAACTAAGACTTCTGGAATACACACTAATTTAATAAGCAACAGCTTCTGGGAACTCTGTGTGTATTTTTAAGCTGTTGAGTACTTACAGATATAATAACCGATCACAAAAGCCATCATTCAGCACTTCAGGGAAAAGAGGAACTACTGTGACTCCAGTTTGGTCACTTACAGATTATAACTAATGAACATTCATTTACTAAGTTACAGAAAGTCTGATACACTGTATCTAAAATGGGACATTTTAGACAGGAAAACACAACGGAAATGAACAAAGCTCCTTTCTGTTCTCAAATGTGCTTCTTTAAAAATAAATTATTTGCAACCAGTTTATCCCAATTTGTCAGACTGGACATCTTTCAAAACTCCTAAGAACCAAGGCCATGCTGTTTTAAGCTTTTCTTTAAAATGTTCCTTTAACCAAGGCAAACAAACACTCAACTAAAACAAAGGACATCTTTAAGATAGCCACTAGTTACAAACTTAGAGTGCATCCTCCAATAAACTTAAGCTTTTATAGCAGCTCAATAATCCATTTTAAGACAGGCAACCTGAAAAGCCACTTGAGGACAGCATTTGGGCTTTTTTCAGCTCATCAATTCTAAGTAACAGTGTAGCTTAGTAACCCTTACACTCCACAGTTCGGAGAGCAATACCCACCAGAGGTCTATAAGCAAATTTAAGGCATACATCCCACACCTGTAATCCCAACTCCATCCCAAAGAGTTCCTGTTGATTGCATAGTGTCTTTTCTACAATCTCTGCTTAAGTGGACATGGAAGAAAGTATTCCTAACATATATAGTTAAGAAATTCATGTCCACTTACTCTCTGCACAAACATGGACTGCAGTGTCTGCTAAACTGTAGTGTAGCATTTACGTTGCATTTGTTAGCTACTAGGCATAAGGACCAGTAATTGCTCATCAAGTGTTCTGTGGCATCTGTATCCACGCTGATCCCCAAGAAGACAATAACAGTAGGTTATCCACCACTTGAAGGATAACCTAATTCAGGTTACTCCATATTTACTATAAGGTGGCAACGCAGACCTGCAGTTTCCTCTTATTACTTCAAGTCAAATAAGTCAGCATCCATTTCCTCTAACCGATCAATTAAAGAAAATATATTCCAGGACCTTTATTTTGAAAGGCTATGAGGTAGACTGAATAGCCTATACAATGAACACAGTCAAACCCCACAAATGGCCTACAGATCCAGAATAAACCATTATTGCACTGTCTTTGGGTTATTCTAAGCCGATCAAATTATCTTTAATGGGTTCAAAACTACTGACAATACCAATTTATTTTGGAAATGGTTCACTGCTACTTATTCTCAGGGAACTCTTGCAATGTAAACAGGCAAATATATTCCCCCACTTCCTCTGAACTGCAATACCAATCTGCCAATTCCTACAATGAAGAATTATCTCTGTGTCAGACCCACATATAGCTACTTCAAATTAACACAGCTGCTATAGCACTAAATACAACTATTTTGTAATGAAAGACCTGTAGAAAGTTGTTCAAAATTAGGTACCAGCAGAGGGGAGAAACATATCACCTGGTTATTTATGCCACTTGGTTGAAAGATATTTGCCTGGACACACAAATGTCATTGGCACTTTGCCTAGAATTCCAAACGCAGATATGTATCCTAGTATGAAGTGCTCTGTCACTTCCCTACATGGTCATCTTTTTGCAAACACCATGTCAAAGGCCATCGCAGTACTCTTACACTTGAGGCACAGGCATGCACACAGTCTGTCTCACCTCCAGGTCTTGACACTAACGCTGGTACATAGTGTATTGCTCTTCTCTACTTGCTCAGTAGCTTTTCTGAGTTTGATTACAGTTAAAATTTCATTATTGTCTATCTACAAGTTAGTATTTAGTTGTTTCAGCATCAGAGTTCATATTACACCTAAACATTTATTTCAGTATTAAACATCCACAGTACTTACACTCAGTTAGCTTCACCTGAAGCTGCAATTGATTTTATCTGCCAATATAAGAAAAATAAAATGAGCACTTAAAACTAGCTTGGGACTGTCTGACCCACCACTTTAAGTATTTTAACCAGCATGAGCTTCTACAGTCAATCAACAAGCTAGACCACCTGTCTTAAAGGACAGTCATAAAAGTTGGATAATTTTTGTTTCTCTACATGAGCATACTAGTTTGGCCCTTTTTTCTTTTTAGAAAAAAAAAATAAGTTCTGCACATTACTATCAGACACTGTCCTACAAGCAGATTTTAAAATAATGCAATAGTAACCCTATGAAAAATAGGCCACTATGGTTGTTAAAGAAAGCCTAGTGTTATAAGTATCCCAAGTAGTGGTTTATTTCCAATTAATTTATCTCATTTGACACAGGCCTTTTCAAGAGATAGCACAAGTAACTGATTTTATTGATACTGACAATAGCAAAAGCCCACACACCCCTCAGGTGTTTCACATACATATTTAGCTTTGTCTTTTTCTGTAAAATGAAAATACAACCTCCACCTCTTCTAAAATAGCAAAGAATCAAGCATCAAATTTTCTGTGCTCTGGACACCTAGCAGAACTGCAAAAATCCAGCATTTTTCCTTAGTGAGATACCCCAAACCACGACAAAATACCTAGTAGTCAACTTGAATTGTACTAATACCGCTTTCAAGTACCAAAACACACAACCCCAATGTATTCCCATGGTATAAACTGCTTCCAAAACTATTATTCTATTGCTGTCATTTAAAAACAGGATAAAGATTTGGACTAGAATCTGTAACTTACACAGTTCTGTGTCAAAAGGATGCAGAAAACATCAGCTGCTGAAACAAAACCTCACTGCAAAACTCAGAGTGGACTAAGTGACAAGGTAACATAATTCACCCTTTATTTCAGCTATCAGCACTTTGTATTTGTACTTGTTCTTCATCAACAGATGCTGAGAGGAAACTAGCTTCAGCCTTCATAAAATTCACACTCTGAATTACCCTAGTCAGGGCTGCTGCAGCTGAATCATCCTATGCACAAAACGGAGGCTTGAGACAGGGCTCAGCAAATGTTAAAGTTTCTCAAAGAATGAAAGCTGGGCAGACAGCCAACACCAACTTCATCTTGAGTGCACACTCTCTCTGCCTGCTAATTAAAACAGGAGGATAGTCGAGTTTTAAGGGTATATATTTATCTCCTCTTGAGACAGCTACCACCTCTAAAAGCAAAGTGACACTAGTGGAAAGAAAGTTTGATGTACACCCTAAATTATTCCCAAAGGAACAATCCCTCAGTTAACAGCTGATAATGACCTACAAAATAGGAGTATGTAATCACTCCTGACACTTAACAAGAACCACCTAGTTCTATCTGGGAAGGAATAGGAAACATTAAAGTCACTGACAAGTCCAGTTTAGAGAAAAAGTTACTGGTATGGCATATCACTGAAATGAAGGAGTTTCAGCTTAAGTATATGGTACTCCTATTTTTGCACTCTTTCCAATTAAAGATACACCTTTTAGGGAAAAATCCAAGTTTTCAGAAAGCTTGGTACAAAAGTCCAATCTTTTAAGACTGGTACTTCAGATGCTTACACTGGAGAAATAGGAAGCTCTACTTTGCATAGTTATCCACTTTTAGACTTCTATACAGCAACAGGCAAAAGAAGCAATAAAGAATTATGAAGGATGAGAAAACAACGATGTCACATGCTAGTCATACTAGCTGATGACATTTGTGAAGAGAAGTTGAAAGGCACTGCTACAACAAGTGTAAGAGTTGGAAAACACCTTCAGATTAAATTACTTTTCCTTAGATAAAGAACAGAGTGTGACTAAAAAAAAAAACTTCTCTGAATTCTAGAACCTAAGGAAACTAAACATATTTAAAAGCAAGCAAAAAAAAAAGTATTTTGTCATAGAAAACAGACAAGTTACAAGACACTCTGAAAGCAGACTTTAGAAAATAAAATTTGAGTCACAAGTGTTAAAACATGTACTCCGATTCAGATGCTTTGCTTTTAGACCTGCTAATTAAACTAAGTGGCCATTTGAAAAACAATCCCCTGAGTGCAAATGTACATTAAGGTAATTACAGATGAACAGAAGCAAGATTGTTTGTAAGTAAAGTATATACTTAAGAATATTTGAAACTTCCCCCAGGGCCTCAAATTATTAAAACAAGGCCCCCACAATAACTTTTCAATAATACGCTAATACATGCAGGTACTACGTGAATGATTCTTACCTGCCACTTCTACAATATCACCTGGGACAATGTCTCTTGCTTTAATCCTCTGTACACTTTTTCGGTCTTGTCGATATACTTTGCCCATTTCTGGTTCATATTCTTTAAGAGCTTCAATAGCATTTTCAGCATTTCTTTCCTAAAAGACAGCAAAAAATGTGTAATTTTAAAAGTCCTCAAGGAAATACAGATATATCAGATCTGATTTTTCAGATGCATCATCGTAAGAATACTACTGACTCAGCTCATCTACATTAATACAGGAAATTATGTAACCCCTCCCCTTATGAGCTTGCTGACTGGAAATCATTACAACATAGTTCAGATATTAGTGGGCATTTAGAACCTGGAAGTTCTTTATTCAAACCCTGCAGCATTTCCCATCAAGAATATTCACTGTGTCTTGTTATGGGGAGGCCACGCAAAGAATTCTATGTAACATATAGATGCTTTTGACATAAAAAATGCACTAGGCAGAATTAAGACTCACGGATATAGTTTTGTCTCAGCTGTATCTTACCAGCTGGAGCAGCTTAGACTCAGACTGGAATGGACTAGCACTACTGAATTTCACTTACTGATAGAAATCAAGGGTCAAGTTAAGGCAAAGTTCAAACAGCACATTATCAACTTCATTTCAGCAAATCAAGTCACATTAAAGTGAAATTAAAGCATATAGACTAGGAACTTCCCCAGAGTCTCTTAACAGTTCACAAACTTAGATGAATCCTCGCACACGACAACCTTCTTATTTCCACTAACAGTAGCACAACTGCTTTCCTATCTCAAGTGCAGTACTCTCAGCTAAGAACTACAGAGATCAGTATCAACATTGTGATGCCACCTAGATAAAAGACAACATAAGAAACCAACAGCTTATCAGTACTCCTTCTCTAGCTCTTGCAGAAGTAACTTATTTTCCAGTCTATTGACAAGTGCAAACGTCATAGTCTTGACGATTATAGATAATGGTTAAGGGTGCACACAGTTTTTAGAATGTCTGCCCTTCAAATATATACCAGCCTTTCCAGATAATACATGCTTCCTCCTACATCTATCAAAGCAGAAACCTAATCTTCAGAAATGCAAAGGCTGAGGTACTAGATACTTCCACATAACAACGCAGCTGAAAGCCAGCATCATTAAAACCACCTTGAAGGACTAACGTTTACACAGAACAGCTCAGCGCCAGGCAGTGCAGAGATACCAGCACAGACCCATAAACCTATAATTAATACTAGCCTCATATTCCACCACATAAATTAATTCTGCTCCTCAGCACAATAACGCTGATACTGCTATTCTGTGGATTAACTAAGAGTTAACATTAGGCAAAACCTTAAAGGTATAAAAGAAAGTCCCACAAATGTACAAGTCCCACTTAAACAGAACTTTTCAAAACAGATAACTAAAAAAGAATTAAACATGATTCAGCTATGACAGCCAGCTCAGTGTGTTAGACTATATCTTTTTGTTTCCAGTTTGCTTGAAGTTACAGTAGTTAGACTGTCTTGCCAAGCACTGAAGTATTAGCAGATGGCCCTTTGGGAAAAGTACACGAGAGGAAAGGTTGAGGAGGGCAGAGCTAAGGCAATGACTCAGTTGCTCACGTCTAGTACCTGTAGAAACAGATACACTTATGGGTGGAGTCTATGTACTGTGACTTATTTTCCATGTCCATTAAAACAAAGGAATGAGTCATTTAAACTATACTGCAATTCTGTTTCACAATAGTTCATTGCATGCAGAAATACATATATAGGTATTCTTTGCACACTATCATGTCTGAAAAAAAGTGATTATTTCCTACAACAGGGTATACAACTACACAAGAAAACCCCCAAACTATATAGATAGCTTTACCTTACATTTCATGCTTAAAATTACTACATGCAGTATTGTAACTCAAAGTTTCAAGTTAAAGATTAATTCTTGCACAATTGCTTTATGAAGATTTGAATAGAAAAATTACACTTAATTGGGCAATGCTGTCATCCCTCGATTGACATTACCTCTTTTCTCCATACCAGCTCTGGAAGTTGCACAGCAACGTGGGTACTACTAAAAACTGAATTTTTTTGAGGGTAAGTCTTCAGTCAGCTTACTTGGGCTAGCACAAAGCAGAGAACAGGAATGTGTAGCAATGCCACTTCTGGTGGCTTCCAGTGTGTGGGCTCCTCTCTAACATGTTTTAACCTGTTAACAGGGCTCCTCTTAATTTTTGTTATTTTGGGACAGGATTGCCTTTTTTTTTTTTTTTCAAAAGCATGAAACCTAGCATGCTAGGATAGCAAGTAATTATGTCACATTAACAATACCCCCTTTAAAAAAAAAAACACAAACAAAAAATGAAACAAAACAACAAACAAAACCAACTTTACAAAGAACTTTAATTATCCTAAAAATCCTAGCATACTTTTTATCTGCAGAGAAACAATTTTAATAAAACATGCCCTGAAGTGATCAAGTTAGTAAACCAAAGTTATAGGAGCAATTTTGTTTTGGCATCTCCAGAAGTCTTAGATTATGTTACTGATATTAGTGCTGATATGATTTATAAAAAAACATCTAATTTATCTCACAGCTGATCACATAGGAAAAGTTTCACAGTATTCAGAAGTTTTCAGAAGAAACTTCTGCCTTTTTCCAGACATGTAGTCTTTAGGTGTATACTTAAATAAATACTATAGAAACTGAATAGGAAGAATTAATATTTTATTAAATGTATTAATAAGTGTACTAAAACATTTGTCTTAAGAGGAAATGGACAAGAAACTAGATTACAAGTGTTCCATCCTTTGTTCCTTAGTTGGGACAAAGCCCCTTTTATTGAAAGCTGATCCAATTGACTGGTTCTCAACTTTTCAAGATTTGATTTATTTCCTCAATTCAGGCCTTCATTCTGGACTGCCTAATTCATGTGTTCACCAGTGTGTGGCCATACTTCTGAAACTTTCATTTTACCTTTAAGTCAACACTTTCTGTCCAGAAGTTTTATGCTATGTTGACTCTCAGGAATCTGAAGTTAGCAACACATATTACTTGCATTGTATAAAGCACCTGGCACTACACTGTGCGGTCCTTCCTCTTAAACGAAGAAAACCACCCCAAAAACTTTTCTGGTTTGATGTTGTAAAAATATCTGCATACCTGCCACACTCCCACAATTGCATTGGCTACTAATATAAGTAAGATTACAAAAGGCTCTACAAATGCTGTGATTGTTTCTTCACCTTCTTCAAACCAGGCCAGGACCTGTAAGAAAAACACAATGATTTAAATTACTGATTTACACCAACACCTTGCAAACTTAAGACCCAGTAAGTTTCAGCTTGAAGTTTAACTGCTTAGACTTAAGCAATTTTGGAAACCCCTCCATCTTACACAGTGTAGTTCTGTAGTTCATGAATGAGTTGGCAATATGCAATGGAAAAGAAGAAAGAATCTTTACTAAAGTAGTACAAAGTTCATTTCCAAGGCTGCTCTTCTTTTAAAGGAGCAAGCTATTTATTTAGGAAACATATTGCTACTTTTGCTTCACAAATGAAAGCACAAATTGTGACAACAGCTACAGCAGTGAAAAGTTCAAAAAAAATTTTTCATTACTGTATAAAACAGCATGCAGACAGATTAGTTTGACTCCTTACAACACTAAAACTTTGCCAGAATCTGAATTCTAACCAAGTTAATTGTTCTTTACCAGTAACTTAGACACACAAATGAAAACAGCTTTACAAGTTTTTGGTGAGTTGGTATGACAAGGAGGCATCTACTTTTATATAAGCAGTGTCTTATTGAAACAACTAAGTGAGTTTTATAGTTACATCTGAAGTTGAATTCTGAGCTAAGTAGCGAAACTCAAAACTGGATTTTAAAAAGTAAATCAAATTGAGGACTTGCATAAAAGTCTCCACATAGATTTTATTTTAACTAATTTGCTTTAGAATTTCACTGTAGTTTTAAGCTTCTGCCATTCACTTGACTTGAATAGGTATGTGTCAGGGCCTTTGCAGAGTTCTGTAGTTATTGAAGAAAAGTCAAGCTAACATGACCAGAGAGGAAGAGCTTTTTCGTCAACGTGTTGAGCAACAGGAAGCCTGGAAAGTGACAGTAAATAGGAACAACGTGTTGAGATAATTAGGGCTGGTAGTCAGGCAACAGCACTCTGAATCACTAGAAGACTGCAGCGAGCAAACCGTTACTAAAGCAAGCGCCATAATTCCACCAACATGCTGCTCAGAGCTATTGCTCAATTGTGAAACACTCCAGGATGTTAGAAGGCAGAAGCAGCAGCATGAAAGCCTCAAGCAGAAAACAGACTGTCAAACAAATCCAATGCAACAACAAATTTTTATTACAAAAGGATAAACTTCTAAGATCCAGGTTATGATTAATAAGACTGAAACATTCCAACTGGCAACACAACACTTTGAGGGTCTGTGCAATCCCTCTGGAGAAGAGATTTAGTAAGGATCTCTTATGCTCTCTACCTCTCAGAATTTCATCCCTCCTCCCACACCACTAACCTCCAATCCCCAGTAACAACCTGTGCCATTTCACCTGCTAGGGCAGACACAGAGTCTACATTGTAGACTTCACCCCAGGCATTACCCCTTCTATCACGGACAGCTTTCACTCCGCACCAGCGCTGTTGCCTCCCATGGAGCTACAGAAAAGGCTAACGGTACATTTCCAGTTTTCTTAGCATATACAAGGTCACACTCTGCCATCAAAAAAGCTTTGTATCTGTTTCTTCCCTCCCTTCCTTTATTGAAATTCTGTAGAACCCATTTTGCTTCTAACAAAACAAGTAAATTCAATCATTTTCCAATGTTCTTTAACAGAGCAGGCACCTACAAGGTTAACTGGAATAAAACATCTGCTTTACGCAATCCTAAACCATAATCTTTTCAGATTAAAGACCATGTGTGTTGTAAAATAACATTGAGAAAGCCTGCAACTTTAAGAGGTAAGGAAAGTAGCTACAAGGACAATAAGATCCAAGTATGTCAAGGAGAACCAAAATTAAGTTTTCAAGGGACCTTTTCTTTCAATAAGCCATTATTTCAAAAAGAGCAGATGAACTCAGATGAGAGATCCTGACAGTACAGATCTGATGTTCTAGATCTTCACTGTTGGGTTTTTTTGGCAAAATTATCAGTCTGTGACCAGATTAATAAGAAGTATCTAGTTAATCCTACAAGCCAGCAACACACATTTCTCCCCCAGAAAGTTTCCACACAACTACTAACAGTGGAATGATCCAAGCTCTAGTTCTAGAACGTTTTAGTAAATATAAACATATAAATAACAGAATACATTGGGAGTTCTTGGTTTTGTTATAGCAGACTACAGTTATATTAACATGATATTTAGGATACTTGTGATATACAACACATTGCTATAACAGATCAGGTTTATTATTTGATAGTAGCCTGCAGTAAAAACAAAACCACAGTAAAAACCAAAGAGAAAGCAGAACAATTAATAGAAGTATTTAACAAGGTGTTTTTAGTAACAATAGATCATATACTGAAGCCTGGTAGAAACTACACTATTCTTGTCCAAGACATTGGGTCCCTGTCAAAAGTTTATACCAGCACGCTTTTAAGACCCTGGAGAGGTTTACAATGAGAGATCTTTTATGAGACTACTACTCAGAAGGGTCCCACCATATTTCAGCTCTAATCACTTTAAGACTCACATCTAGAACAGCTTAATTTCCAGGTCATTGATCTCCAATGTACTGTTCAGACAGTATGGTCAAGTAAAGTTACCATGTATTTAAGAAGCTTAAAAGGAAGGGGGAGAGGAAGAGTAAGATAACTGCTCAAGAGAAATGCAAGTCTGAAAATACAAGGGAAGGCACTAGCAAGACATAAAAGTCCCATATCAACAGCCAATGTAAGCAGCTTAAAGGACAACTTTCATTCAGCATATTTGCTTTAGGGCTGCTAGAGCTATGGCTTGCAGAAGCCTACTTCAATCGAAGCCTAATGGGGCGAACCTGCAGGACGCTAAGCCAAAAAATACACAGTAAAATACACAGTGACAGGCAAATAGCACTTAGTTTTCATGGTTATTTGTAAAAAGGGGGCAGATGTACAATGCAGAAGTCAGCCAGCAATGAGGTGACTACTGATCAAAACAGATAGAACAAAAGAATTCTTGCAGATTTTTGCATTTCTACAAGTTAAGTACCTCTGAACTGTCAGGTAAGTTATGGAGGCAAGTTGTTTCAGATAATTATTTGTCATTAAGTAACAAAAATAAAATTAAAGAAGTTTCAAGATAGAATTCTGTTGCCCAGCAGGCTGTACCTGCTTACCACTATGAGCAAAAGCAAACAGTTTGTTGTCAGCAACCTAACAAGGTTTTTTTGTTTGTTTTTCATTTTGACAATGGAAACTTAGAAACAAGCTGGGAAAGCAAGATCTCATCCTAACAAAAAGGAAGCCCTGAACTAATTAAAGAAGGTCATGTAAAACTACGGATCTTCTCATGGAATACTGTGAATTAAGATTTAAGTATATTTTGGACAGAGTACTACCTACTGCTCAGAAAACCCTCTTTTAAGTGATTTTGCTTTTCAATACAAATTAGCTTAAAATTAAGCAGATGCAAACTAAGTAGTCCTGATACTTGTTCCATGTCAGCTGTACTGAACACCAGGAAATAGTAAAGAAAAACGTCCCAATTCTAGTTCCATTATTCAGTAGAGATTTTTATTTGCTACCCAAGAAGAAAGGAGAAAAAAAAAAAACAAAAACACAACAGATCTTGACCATGCATATAAATACAAAATTAAGAATTTTACTGGGTTAGCAGCAGACAGTAAGCACCCATCAGATATGCTACTCTGTATTTCTGAAAATAAACACATTCATGCGTCTAGTGTAGCAATAAGAGGAAAAAAAAAGAAGATACAGCATCCACAGTTTAATTTCTACAAAGTAAAATGGAATCAGAATTACTTCTCACAGTTTTATCACCCTTACCCATCAGTTGGTATCTCAGGTGCTACTGAGTAATCAGAGTTTAGCTAAAAGCACGTCGGTGTAATGTTCTACAGCAGTCCTTATCTTGTGCCACATACTCACTGCTACTGACCTTAACAGGTAGCTTTTGGAGTGGTTTCAGAGCAAAGCCTGCAACTCTTTTTACTGGCACATCTTACTTCCTCCAAAAGTAACTTTGCTCACCATTTAACAAAGATTAGGTTATATTCATGCTAATTTACAGGCTATAATCATCTCTGGACTAAATCATTGTTTTAATCCAAACATGGATATCCACTGTTAGAAAACATTCCGAGAACATTAATTTCTAAGTCAGTTTAGGAATCAAAGAAATAATGTGGGAGGTGGGGTGCTAGGAAATGCTCTTAGGATGCTGTATTAATGGTTATATTTTTGGTAGAGTTTATAGTCCATGCTGCATCTTGTAGAAAAAAAATTACTATAAGTGTGATGCAAAAATAAGACTGCATAGTTAAGCATACATCACTGTTTACAGCATATATACTTTACCAAAGAATTATTCTACATCAGATGCACAGTTAACAACCTGCAACTTGTCAAAGTCATTTATACAGCAAAGCAAGCTGTTCCTTTATGTAAATACTGTAAATCTAACTACATGCGACACAAGTAGCAAGAATTAAAAGCCCTAGTTCATGGAAAATTAAACACTCTCTTACTTGCACCTAGTAAGTCAGGCTATGAAGGCCTCTGAACTGCTGAGATACACTCTACAGGTTTATTTCTACATAGGCTTCACAGATCCAACAGAAGGAGACAAGGTCCAAGCCTACATGTAGATCCATTTCCTAACCCTCAGAAATTAGTTATATTGTTTCTCTTTAAAAGCCATACTTAAAGCTTTTACTAACTAGGCCCATCTGTAAAAGCCTTTCTGACTTGGAATGTAGGACAATAGGATCTACAGCCAACAAACAAGTAGCATATGACTGCTACAATCAGCTAGGGTGACACAGATTCAGCTGTTAGTCTGATTTATTTTACTGGCACATACCTGACAGGAGGTGTGGGAGTAGAGGACACAAAAGGCACTTTGAACGCACAAGTTTATATTGTATGTAAGAGGGGATGTTTCTGCGCAAAAATCTAACATGGATCTCAGTGTTAAAGATGGCTGTTTCTGTGCAGTCAATCATAATAGTAAGAATCTATTATGATTTATGATTACAGAGCAATCACCAGAAGCTTCCATGACAAAAAAAAAATACCTATATACCTTGAGATCCTCTCTCTCATGAGAATCTTCAACATCTTTTTTTAAAATTGACATTGTACAGCTAGTAAAGAATTTCAGTGATGTAAATTACTTCCAATTTTTGCAGCAATATAGGCTTTGTATCAACATACTCAACAGTTCTTTCCAACTACTACAAAAGTCTCTAATATGCTTTCATTAAGAAAAAGTATTAAAACCTAAGAACAGACAACAGATGATCACTTTCCAAGCAAGGAAAAAGACAGAAACAAGCACAAAGCGGAAATGCTTTTAAAGTACTAAAATTATAACATATCTATTTTTTCCTTTTACACTTCATCAAAAACAAAAAAAACCTTTACTACTAACATCAATCTACAGTGGGTATCTAACTTAAATGTGAGACAGAAAAGGCAGAGCAGTAGCCCAAGGTCACATCATGCTAGATACACAGGGGCAGAGAACACAGATCTATCCCACGCTCTATTACACTACAATCTCCCCTTAATTAGATAGGAAAATCAAGCATACTGAAAAAAGAAACTGAATCCAGTTACTAATCAAGTTTTCAATGAGGTCTTGGTGGTGCATGTTCTATGACCTCTTGACAATTTGGTATCATACTCAGATTCAGCAATGAAACCTTAAAGTTTGGTGAATTTGATTTTTCACTTACTTGGTTACAACAAAAATAATGTACCTTGGCATGAAAGGCTAACGAGCTTCTGTACTGTCATTTATCTCATGAGATGAGAAAAACACTCCTGACTTTCCAGGAACAAAAATACATCCCCTTTTCTCCTCTGGGAGGGGAAAATACAAAAGAGGAGGAGGAAAAAAAAGCTTTTGAATGACCTGTTTATTCAATTTTCTATAGCCAGCCTGATTTCCTCCTGAGGAAACAGAAGAGTGAGGCATATTTGTCTCGGTGGTCAAGATCAATGCCACCAACCATTGCTCAAGCTAGTAACGGTGTATGCATACCAAACCCCAAAGCACTTTGAAAGGTGTCAGTGTGAGGATAGCTGAAGCCTCTCTTGGTGGAGGATCAGCAACACGGTATACATTGCAGCAGCCACAACAGGGCAACCCTTCCCCCCCCCCAAAAGGAACAGCTTCAGAAGACATTCTCCTCTGCCCATCCTAATTACCTGCCCTTACCTAAAGGGTCACCACAATTTCCATTCCCCCCCAAGAGCTCCAGATTTTTTTTTTTTTTAAAAAAGTAGTTAATTACAACTCTAGGGCAAAGTCTACTATAAACTTTTACTCCTACCTAAACAACTTAATATTCTGCAAACTTTTGTTTCTGTTGTCCAGCTGCCCAAGACATACAGCCTTCATCCTCCTACACTTCACCTTTGCTCACTTTTCCAGTTTTTCAAATATGTACCCATCACATATTAAGTAAGAATGCCAAAACATGCTTTTTTTTAAAAAAAAAATAAGCTAAAAGTGTTCTTGTTCTTTTAATCCTATATGCAAAGCAAGATGTCCATTTAATGACTAGACTATCCAAAGGTCAGTTACCAAATTTGGTCAACAATGGTGCCATCACAGCCGTCATCATTCTTGTCACTGTCAAAAGCAACAACTGTCACCTTGCTATTATCAGGAAGGGAAGGCAACTGGAATATTCACCATGTAAATTCTATTTACAGTCTGCATTGCATCCAAAAATGTCTTCCAATGATTATACATTGAGCTTGATAACGATTAACTCAAAGGCAAGAAGAATGTCCAGTTAAACACTTACTCAAGGTTAGTTTTCAATGCCAACAAAAGCATTGGGAAATCCCACCTCAAATAAGCAAACTGGGTTGAATGAGAAGCACTTTTAAAAATACCTGTCTAGTGTAGTTACGTACTTATGACTCATGCAATCAAAGATTCCCTGAAATCTTGTTTTCTAGCATACAGAAACCTCTTCATAACCCAACTAAAGATAGCAATTTACTTTGCATCTTCTACTTCTACCTTTTGATAAGAACAACTTCAGTATGTACAGTTCCTATACATTGGAACATCTGTCATTCTGCAATACAGAAGCCTATGAAATAAAAAAAAACGTGTACTTACAAAAGATATGCAAGCTGCCAGTAACAAAATTCTAACTAGCAAGTCTTCAAATTGTTCAATCACAAGCTCAAGTAAGGTTTTTCCTGCAATATATAACAAAGTCATTTAGTTAAGTACATTAAAAAAAAAATCAACAAGAACTAGCAGAAGATTTCATGGACATGCTTACCTTCCTCAGCCGGTAACTCTGTCAGTGGAATATTTTTCCAGGAAGCATGTCAAGGAAAAGAAATCATTGAAGAAACATGTTAGAGCATTGTAAAGCATCCACCAGATATTGCTCCTGAATTGCACACTCAACTGGGTTGGATTTGACAGACATATGGAAACCCCCATTCAAGTGGCTCTTTTCACTGGAGCATCTGAATAGGCCCCATAGTTTTGCATTTTAAGACACATACAGGTTAGTCAGAATGTGCTAAGGGTTATAATTCAGCCAAGTCATCACTCCAGCCAGCTGTGGGACTTCTGCTGTTGCTGCACACAAACGGTCAAAGGCTCAAAATGCTTTTCAAATGTTTTCTGACAAAGCTTTTCCTTCGCATTCACTTAAAAAAAAAAAAAACCACCACCAAACTTGGTTAAAATATTTCAAATTCTTTTCTCCATTTTAAGGATATTTTCTTATTTCTGCTCTCCCTTTCATTTTCCTGCAACTGGATTTAGTAATTGAAGAGACACAAAAGCAGTGTTAAAGCTAAAAAAAAACCACCGTATAATCTTCTCACAGCTTTTCATTTTTACACAACGGCATGGGAGTTCAAAAGGCCAAGCAATAAGGATTAAAAAAAAGAAACACCTTATCGGCTGAATTCTGTGCCCCGACTCGAGAGAATGTAAAATATGAGACAGAAAGGCACTGAAAAGCAGGGAAAAATGAAGGTCAAGACGGACAAAAAAAAAAAAAAAAAAAAACCCAAACAAAAAAACAAGAAAACAACCAAACCCAGAGCGCTTCATTTCAGAATGAAAGATTTCCCACCGTTAAGGTGAAAGGAAACGGAGGTGACATCCTCCTTCCCAAAGCAGCTCTGTGAGCTTGGGGTATGAAAGAAACCCACGAGGTGGAGTTCAAGTCAGCCATCTTCTCTCCCTCGCTCCTATTCCGGGTCCTGTAAGAGATGCCGGCTTTGCAAATACACACACGTTAGGCCTTGAAACAGGGCCCCGAGAAGGACGAGCGAAAAAGAGAAACGGGTGAAAAAAGGGAGCAGAGGAGGGGGGGGCGAGGGGAAGACGACGAGTGCCAGCGACAGCATCCCCGCGGCGGAGGGGGAGGGCGGCGTGGGGCCAGTTCACCTACCGTTGGAGCCCCATTTCTCCTTCAGCTTCTTGACTTGCTCCAAGCTGAGTCCGGTGCTTTCGTTGACGCTGAAATAAGCCAAAACTTCCTCCACAGTCTTTGTGTGCGCGTTCTCCATGGCTAGGGCAGGGAGCAGCAAATGGTGCCTCGCCTCTTCCTCCTCCTCCTCAGCGGCGGCGGGCGCGGCGGTGAGCCCCCTCCTCAGCCCCTCGCTGTCTCCCCCACCGCTCCCGTGCTATCACCATAGACCCCCCTCCCGCAACAGAGAGGAGCCCCCCCGAGCCCGCCTCAGCGCCTCGCTCTTCCCGGAGGAGGCAGGAGGGGGAGAAAAAATATTTAAAATTAAAAAATATAAATATATATAAAAAAAAAAAGTCGAACAACAACAACAAAAAAAAAGCCCCCCGCCCCCCTCCCACCCCAGACGCCCTCCGAGGGAGCCGAGCCGCCTCTCAGGCGGGGATAAGCGGGGCTTCAGGCGCCCCCCGGCCCCAGGCGGGGCAGCGGGGAGGACGGAGAGGCGCGGGGCCCCGGGGCCGCTGTCCCCTCAGGAGCGCGGGAGGGCCTGCGGGGGGCTCGGCGGCGGCTGCCTGCGTGGGGATGGGCCGCGTCCAGGTGGCCGAGCGGCCTCTCCGTTCGCCCCACCGAGCTCCGAGCCGCCGCCGCGGAGGGCGATAACGGCACGCCTCACTCCGCTCGCCCCCAGAAGCGGCGACGGGGAGGGGAAGGGGCGGGGGGGGGGGGAGAGAAAAAGGCGCAGTTGTCCCGCTGCCCGCCTCGCCTCCGCTGGGAAGGGTCGGAATCGCCCTCCCCCCCCGCTTCAGCAGCCCGATCCTCCCCTCGCCGGTCCAGGCCGCTGTCGCCGTCACGGCTCGCCCAGCCTCGCCGCTGACTCCCGGTCGCGCACCGGCGGCGGCTGCTCTAATGTAACTTACGGGAGCTGGGCCGCCCGGGCCCCTCTCGCCGCCGCGGCATGTGGACACCGCTCATTGGCGGGGCGCGCGGTGCGGGGCGGGGGGGAAGGCGCAGCCCCGCCCCGCGGCGCTGAGGCGATGGCAGCGGCGCCTGGCGCGGCCCCGGCGCAGAGCAGCGCAGCGCGGCCGCCCGCCCTCGGTTCGGAGGAGGAGGAGGCGGTGGCGGCGGGTGATGCAGGGCCTCATGCGGCGGCGGCGGGAGCGCTTCCGCTCCGCAGTGGGAGAGGCCCGCAGGTGGGGGTGGCCGCTCTCCCGCCTTCTCGTCCCGGCCTCAACCCGCGCCTGAGGGGGAGCCGAGGGGGGGGGAGCGCGCGCGCCGCCTGAGGGGAGCTGCCCGCCGCCCGCGCTGTCGCGATAGGCGTCTCGGCGCAGGGGCGTTAGCGCCGAGCTGCCCCGGCGCATGTCGTGACAGGAGTCGTCAGCCTGCTTGCGCGAGCTCTGCCCGCCGTTCTGTCGTGACAGGAGCTTCAGCCGGAGGGTGAGTGTGGGGCTGCCCCCCACCCCTGTGGTGACAGGAGCTTCATCCAGCCGCGAGCGCGCCGGAGGGGAGAGGCGTGAGGGCTGTGTGCCTTCATGCTCACATTGAGGGGGTTTGTTCCCCAGAGGTCCTGCCCCTGCTCTGACGAGGCCTGCGCTGACACTGAGCAATGTCTTTTGCACAACTTCCTTAATTCCCGTTGCCGCCATCGCACGCTGCCCCGCCAGCATAACAGTGACACGCACACTCAGCCCTGGCTTGCACAGAGATAACATAAGGAGGTATAAACTGCACAGTGTGATTTCAGCAGTGTGTGTGGTGTGAGATACCAGCTTTCCTCAGCGCAGTATCTCGATAACTGACACAGACTCACAAACCAATATAGAACACAGAAAACTGATTTAGCCATCCCACCCAGTAATTCACAGAAACTTCAATGAACACAATACAAACTGAGATCAGCACCAGCTGATATTAATGACACCTGCAATATATACGCAACACAGAGCAAGCAATTAGGTATACAACGTAAATACCTTCCCTTGGAAATACTTGGTGCCAAGTGATGTTCTTGTATAAGTGTGTACAAATATAAAAGCTGATCTCTACATGTGTGCTGGCTTACATAAATGCAGATCCTACATACAATCTGCATATCCATCACTGTTACAAGCCACCCACGGTACCATGCTATAAGAAACTATATGTCTGGTCTTGAAGGAAAATATCTTGGCTTTACTTCTGTATTAGCAAAAGGAATAAGGAGAGGGGACAACCAATATAAAATCACAATGTTCTACAGTATGCGTGGCCCTGTATCCCTTCTAGCAAACATACAACTGCCCTAAAAGAGACTCCTCTGTAACTACCCAGTGGCCACAGAAGGATAACTTGACAGCATGTCTACACCTGACAGGGCAGTTCTGAATAAAAATTCACAAGTTAGATCTGATGATCTAGTTCAGGTATGACAATTACTTATTCCATGCCTTGCCTGTCTTAATTTTATCTTGCTTAACAGCAGGATTAATCAGTGTGCTTGAATGTTGCTTGAATACAGTTATGTTGCTTCTCATACCACTACCTCACGCTGCACATACATAGACATACCCTGTTATAGAGGTAAAGAATGTCAACATGACAGTTTTATATGGCTTACAGTTTACTGTAAGCTCCTTACCTAGTTTTAATACTTTTCTTTGTACTGTATGAACACGATCCCATCATCCCCAACACATAACTGAAGTCACAAGGTACATATGCATCCAAAATTAATATTCTTACAGAATAATGTCTTAAAAAATATGCACTCAGTGCCAACAAAACTGCTGATCGATGCCTGTCACAGGCCCGCCCAACCCACACCTAACTTTTCAATATCCTCTAACACACAAGTATGTACAATATGCACCCCTGTCTTCAGACACCTCTGCATGACAGACTCAATGCCAGTCCCCATATTATGTGCATATGCAAAATTAAAAAATACATCATTTTCACAATCATTATATACAGAAGAGCACCAGCTACTTGAATTAACATATTTAACAAACAGCACAGTACATCTATATGAGCAGTTTCCTCCCTTCTACCATGTTCACACAGCCTGCATTATATGTAAGCTTTTTGTAAATTACATTTACCACAGCAGTGTTTTTACACACAAGCATATTTTACTAGCCTTCATATACAAGAGCACCTGTAAAGGACTTGAAAGTCCTGCATTTCATTTTCTTGCTATTTTTAAGTATTACTTTAAATGTTGTAAAAGAGCAATATAATCAAGCATCAGTAGCAATTTTCAAAACAAACTGGTATTAGAAAGAAACCCAGGTCATATTTTATATTATTTCTCCCTGTGATATACTTTGTATGTCATTGTTGGTTTCCTTTTTGTGCCTATTTTCAAAAAGGCTTATGTAAAATTATTTTAAGCATACCAGAACCATGGCATGTACAAGTAGAGCTTGGCAGAGTCTACAATAAAGTAGATATGGTGTCCTTTCAGTCTAACTTGTTAACAGGTGGAAATGCTGCTAGGAAAGTGAACAGAGTTTGCATTCTAGTGAATCCTGGGGAACTTGGCGTTCTCTGGGATTCACTCATTCAGCTACAGTTTGACAACTCCACTTCCGTTGTTTCTCTTTCATCCATCACGAATAGAGGACTTGATTGTTCCTCTTTTTTTCCATCTTTTGAACATAGACCCTGCATAAAATCTAGACAGAACCTGAAAGCATAGTGTTCTGCCTGTGTTTATTTCTATCCTGTGTTCTGTTATGGCTCAGTGAATTTTGAGAGAAGAATGACTGAGTTAAGGTCTGTACTACAGGTCTTTCTCTTCCAGAGCAGAATAAGCTCTGCATTTCCTTCATGATTGCTTCCCTGGCTTTCCACAGATGTGCAAGACCGATGCTAGCTGACCAGTGAGGATTTCTTTGCAGGTGCTATCCTCCAAATCATTAAAGATCTTCTGACAGCTGCACATTTGAAAAACATTTGCAGATACAATGCTTGGTCTAGACAGCATAGTGCAGAACGAACTACAAATACCCATGCAGATACTGCAGCAGAAGCAGCACCTGCTAATTTCGGCACCACTTGATATCATACAAATTTAGAATTGTGAATTGAAATCAGTGTTATTTCCTATCTCTATGCAAGGATTCATAAAGTTTCCTGCGGAATTTGTCTTGTCTCTTAAAGAAGGTGGTTATTTTGACCCAAATTAGAATGACAGCACCTTAGCTCTGCCTTAATCAATGCAAGCCCATGAAAGCTTCCAGACAATTAATACTTCCAGCAGGTGCAGATAGCTTTACATTCTTCATCTTTAAGGAAGAAGGAAACAAATGTATTTTCTTGCTTCAAAGTGAAGTTGCAGTTCATTTTTAGAGTGGAACCCCTTAGGGCGGTACCTTGGAAAGAAACACGACAAAATGGGCCAGCTTTGGCCTTGATGAAATTCCATTCACATAATGGAAGTATACCATTCATACGTTTGGCCTAGTCTCTTTTTTTCACTGTAATATATTAGAAGAAGCAGCCAACACATCAGGCAGCAGCATTAAAATGGTTCCTGTAATGCTTACTAATTGAAGTAAATGGGAATTTGGCCTGAGAGAAGACTGCAGGATGCTTTCCTTCAAATTGCAATAACATTAAGTCATCCCTATTGCTGCAAAGCAGATTCACAGTAGAGTTACTGGTCATAATGTGAATTGTCTCTTGCTGTACACAAAAACATATGTTTTGTAGCTCAATTTTCAAAGAAGATTAATAGTTTTTACTGGACTCAAATGCAGCAGAGAAGGGGACTACATAAAATGTCAGTTTGTTGAGCCAATACACCTGAATGCTGACCTGCAATAGACTTCCTATTTCAGGCCTGGATCTCATTTCAGTGGCCATAGACCTTCTGCTCAACTGTGCCAAATTATGGCATGATTTTTGCAGACTGGCTAATTGCCTAATGGGGCTTAGGTTGAGACCACCAAACTCACTGCTCTTATTACCCCAGCTGATTTCAAATACAAGTCTTCATGAGTGACAAATGAGGACATTATTTCTTCCTCCCACGGTACTATTTTATTCCTCTTAAATTATGGTTATTAAAATGTTTCAGCCACTTGAAATCTACTAAGACATATTAAAATACTGTGAAAGTGTTGTATCAAAGTGGAAAGGTTTTAAAACTGCAGTTCTGTCATAAGATAATGCAGTTTAAATATAGTAACTCTTTTTTTCCAGTCAGCTTGCTCTTTGATTTCATGGTATTATGTCAAGGCTTTTTTTTTTTCCCTTTTCTCTTTTCAGAAGCTTATAGCCTAAACAGCGAAATGCAAAAAATACTGAGATGAAACAGTTACTCAAACCCAGTAGAAAAATCAATGATAAAATATTAGTTTGAATTTTGATAATTAACATAATCTGAGTTTATTTTGAATCATTTTTATTCCCAGGCAATGTGTGTATCAGCCCTAGGTAGAATTTGACTTCCACTGAGACTGAGAGACTGTGAATACAAAGGATAGTGTTGCTGCTGGGAGATTTCTAGAACTGAATCACTGTTCCTGCACAAAGCAGCTGCTTGCTACCTTGATAGTGTAAAAGAGACAGCAAGACACATTCTGATCTCAATGACAGTAACTATAAGAGATCACAGTTTGGCTTGGTAGATTTCTTCTTTTATTTCTGTATCTTATTGATAGTCACTTGGTTTGTCACCAAAGACTCCATTAGAGTATTTGCTACAACAATCTCCATTTCTGTGCTTGGAAAAATCTTTCTGTCTATCCCATGTTGATGTGAACAGGAGATTTAGAAGTACGGGAGAGAGTAACGTATCACAACCAAGATCTGTCATGAATATCTGAGAAAATAATTTATCCTTATTTGATGGCCAAGTCTTTTCTCTTAAAGGGAAATCAACTTGATTGCTATCTTAAAAATGCACAACATCTTTAGAAATAAAGCACTGGCCAGCACCCATGAGATTGGAATTCTTATCTCATCCTGACCTGAATTTTCCATCTAATTAAGGTCTAATTCTGATTAATTTGGCAGCAAACTGCCATTTTTTTCCCTATGTGCTTCTGGATCTCAATTTTTCTCCCTGTAGAAGGGGCTAGGTATACTACTAAGCTTGTAGGGGGCTGTGTGGCCAGGCACACTATATGTAAAATGGCACGTTGTTTGTAAGGTGTTATAAAATTGCCCCACATTTGGTATCTGTAACAAGTTGATGGCTAATTGGGATGTCATAACTGTGATCATACTATATTTCATGTATTTACCGAATCACAGTGAAAATCACACTCTCTCTGCCTTGTCAAGATTGAAAGGAAGACACCCAGATGCACTCCATGTAGGTGAGTAGCAATGATGTAAGATGGAAAAGCTTTTCTTAGTCAAGGAGATTACTTCTTTTTCCACCATTGTTTGGGACTAATGGCACATGACTACCACTTTTATTAGACTTGTGACATTTTGTGATATGA